GCATTATCTCCCCGAAGAGTTTTTACAGTATAAAATTTTACTTTAAACGATGCGTTGCACTGAAGCTATTATATTTTTATTTATTTATATAGTTATTTATTTATTTTTTAAGAAAGTCACTACAATATACCTTCTCGATTATTAACTCTTAGTATTAGTATTAGTATTTTGCAGCTTTAAACAAAATTTGCATCGCAAATTTACTAATGTTTCATCTGCTACTTTTATCATTTTTAAACAGAACTTCTATTTATGTTTCAAAAAATAACATTTGTTTAGTATTTACAACTTTAAAGAAATCAAACTTTCTACTGAACTGCCTGTAAACTTAGAGAAAAAAGAAAATAAAATTAGTCTAAACATGTGAAAACGCAAAGATCAGCTTACAAAAACGAAAAAACGGGAACAAATTAAATGCACAGTTTTATTATTAAACACTCTATGTTTTTGTTCGGTAAAAATGATAAATGCTAAGTTATATAATAAATGCTCATTGCTCAGTTAAAAAATAAATTCTCAGTAAAAATAATATATGCTTGGTGAAATAATAGCTGCTCAGTTAAATTAATAACTGTTCGGTTAAATAAGGAATGTTTAGTAAGAACCCTACTTGATAAGTGTAAAAATTGTAAATGTTAATTAAATAAATACATGCTCAGTATACATATTTTACAAATACTACTTAATTTACTTTGACGTATGAAATTGCACTGTCTTAAATTTGGGCATTAGTTACTGTTTAATAATTTTCTTTCATAATGCTAATTATTAAACACAAATAGGTATAGTTTTGGAAATTTCATTGTACCCTATAAAATTTTATTAGCAATAACGAGACGAACAGTAGTACAATAGCAAGAGATATTTACAACTTAAAATTGTCACGTGCCGGTAATCTCGAGATGGTAGAAAGCAGAATAATCCAAGTCTGCACAGGGTTCAGACGAGCATTATTTTATGAATACAACTACCTGCTAAATGTTTTCCGACAAATTCAGGTGAACTGGTGTGAGCCATAAATATTTCTTACCATTGTACTACTGTCCGTCTCGTTATTGTCAATAAAATTTTATAGGGTAGAATGAAATTTCCAAAACTATACCTACTTAATATTTAATCTGTAGGTACTGCAAAAAGCAGAGGCTGGGCTAGACTTACCCTAGTTTTTTGGGTATACCAACTTATTTTCAAATGTCATCCTTCGTTGTGATTCAGATGTTAACTTCAAGTTGGAAAAAATGTGGGTAAGGGACTTAATTAAATTTTATACAAGCGACATGAAAAAGTGGTGAAACCTACTCCACCTACTTTGCAAAATGAAGAAAGACTGCGTTTATTATTTTAAACTGAATACCGAAAATTGTGCAATAAATTAGAAAATACTGTGCAGTTTTAACTGATCAAGACTCATTTTATAACTGTGCATATTCCATTTATTTATAAATCAATTTCTTTTTTAAACTGTGTGAAAATCCGTTAAATACTGATCATATTTTTTTTTCTGAGCAGATCTCAAATAAATACCGAGCGTTTTATTACTACCCAAACAAAACTATAAACACAGAGTCAGTTAGTTTTTTCCCCAATCGCGGTAACTCATCAATTCATCATTTTATCCCTTAAACCGGGCATCTGAGCGTCAATTTTAGCACTCAACAACCTGTATTTCAAACCACCTAAGGGGTGGTGCTCTCTAACTGTGAATCATTGTAAACATTAGACATTGTCGAAAGTCTGAATTCTAGTCTGTACTGTGGAAATAAGTTTTGCTATATTTTACGTACTGCTCAAACCACTGATGCCTATACAGAAACCGCGTTTCAGCATAATAACATTTATAATATCATCGCATAGAAATAAAGAGACTAAATGAGAGCGATCTGGTCTAGAAATCTTGAGGAGGTAGTAACTTTACTCATAGTATTTAAAAGGTTTATTTTTTGTTATCAAAGTTTAAATTCTTATTTTGGAATTAAGTATACCCATAAAGAAACATGAAAGTAAAACTAGAAGATTCAGAAATTGTCAATCTTCTAATTCTAAAAGGTCAAAGGAGTCATTTTGTCAGTGTTTACCATGTGAGACCTAGAACTTTATTAATTCAGTTAGCTAGAAATATGTAAATAAAATATTTTATTTATAAAATAAAGTATAGTAGTCCAGAAGCTATAAGGTCATATGGCCATCATAAAATTATCCCATTGTGTCGAAGTTAAGTTGTTTAGAATAGAAAAGGTTTTGGGGTAGTCAATAACGTGTCCACTGCAGCTGGACCGGCTGTTGTCATTTCGTTCAGGGGCGGCTCTTACTAAACCCACCTATCGGCTACTACCTGCAGCCGCAGAGGGTTCTGAAATAACCAGTCGCTTTGAAAGCTAACCCTGTTAAATGTGAGCAAGAAATGTTTAGAAGACGATTTATTGCCAACCGGTAAGCTTAGTGCGAACCACACAAAGGAGATATTTATTTGCGGTCAACTACTTTTATGATGATCATATAACCTTATAGCTTTTGGGCTACTTTAACCTCCTTTGACATACACCTTGTAAAACTTTTATGACTTAAGCGACTTAAGCCAAAGCACCCTTATAAGTCAAACTGGCTATTGTATAACTTAACTCAGTTCACAGCTCCATTATGCCAACAATGGACAGTAATAATCCTTGCGGTTCGGGTCCATAAAGCTTACAATAGCCAGTTCGACTTATAAGGGTGGTTTGCTTAAGTCGCCTAAGTCAAAAAAGTTTTACAAAGTGTATGTCAAATGAAGTTATTTTATATGCCTTATTAACTACAAAAAGAAAAATGTTTCTACAAACCTATTATTATATGCATTCACGTTTACTTGTTGTCCTGAAAACCAAAAACATACAAAACAACGTTATCTGAAAAAGTGGACATAAAAAGTGTGACAACGTAAAAAACATCAACAAAATATACGTCCAAAATATCAGGAGGGCAAAAAACACGATCAAAGACAACCATGAGTTTTTGAAGACACGTCTTTGATAGAATTTTTGTCTTCGTCAAATTACCGTCAATTTGAAAATTGGAGTTGCAATGGTCAAAGACAAACTTTTAAAAATTCCTGTGTGTTTTTGATCGTGTTTTTCTTAGCTCTCTAAGTACGTCATACTAAGAGGAATCATCAAATGATGATATTCTTTAATACTGACATAGCCTCGAAAGAACCAAGAAGATATTTCGAATTTTTTTTTTTTTTTTTTTAATTCTGAAAATGGTTAGTTTTATTAAACATTAGGTATGTGTACAACAGTGAATATTAATTTAATAAGAATTAAGCTAAAGTTTCCATTAAAAACCGTCGTATTATAACTTGAAAATATGTAACTTTTAAATCATAGTACCTACTTTTTAATCAGTTTACTAAAAAAATTTCATGTAATTAACTTATAGGACTAGTAATCAGGACCTATTTTATAACAATACTGTTGATATACTTAATTTAATTTGTGAATTATTTATTCATTTTGAACGTTTATTAAATAAACGATGTTGTATTTTCCAGAATATTTTCTGTGATGTAATTTCTATGATTGTCGCAAAATGAACTCAAAAATATTTCAGTTATCTATGTGTTCGAAATATGGCCACACTTATTATTATTTCATGCGTGCAAAAATTAACAACACAGAGGTGTAACTTTTGAAAATCAATATTTAAACATTTTTTATCTAATAGAAAATAAAAAATAAAATAATGGTAAGTAATTAAACTATACTACATATTATTCATCTTCTGAATATAACTTTTACTGCCAATCATTTTATTGTTAAAAACTACTTGTATTTGCTGAAAAGTAAATGAATATAAAAAATCTTAAATGGCTATAATTAAAAACAATGAAACCTGATTAATACCTAATAAAATTAACTTTGTAATTCCGTTATGTATTATGTCTTCTTAATAATAACTGTAATTTTTAATTGTGTTGTTATTATTGTTTTAACTACTATAGTGTTCGTTTCAGCCATTAGGGGCAGCTGTAATATCAACACTATAAAATTTTAAAGATTTTAAATCGGCAAGAATATTTTTTAAACGCTGCAAATAATTACATTTTCTTAGATATTTGATTATTTTAAATTTTGAAACAGTTTTTTTCCCCGAAAAGCTGACCACAAATTATCTGTTTCAGCCTGAAAACATTCACTATTCTACCATTTAACCCATGGTGTTTTAGGTGGCGGTCGTAAGCAAACACGGTGATTATAAGGCATGGAAGACAGCAAGAAGCGTGTGAAGAAGCGTCTGCGTCATGGGAAGTCAACAATGAGGGCAAGCGCGTGCCACCTCGGGGCTAAATTAACAGCAAAATGTTATTGGTCCATCTGCCTGTTACCTCACCAGCTCATTGGTTGCGCGTGCCCCTTGTTGTCACGCATTGGCTCGGAGAGCTTTCACAGAAGCTCCTCAAAGCGTCGATCCATAAATAGTTTTCAGTCCGGCTGTAATTTACAATGCTTGCAACCGATCGATTTATTTGAGGAAAAGGCAGCTTTCGTGAAAGATCGCATCAGCGCAAATTAAACGTTGAAGGAAAGCGACGGTAAAGCGGCTACTTAATTTCAGGAAATAAAAAACCTTTCTGCGGTTTTGGTTTTAAACAGATGAGGAAGCAGGAGAAACGAGATGAGATTAACGTAAAATTTGGCGTGATGACTGCGCGCTGTTTGAATTTTTCTGTAAAATGCAATAATTCCCATGGGAAATATTTAATTTGATCGTTTCTGTTATCGCATCAAAAATTGTCTGTGTGGCGGATGCCGCCAACGTAAGTTGCCTAATTAATCCCTTGCTCGGTTTCCGTTAGCCGAGATAAGATCGGGTCCTATAGCTAAACATATCTAAAGACCGGATCGTGACTGAAAACTAAACTTGAACTTGCGAAAGGGGCGGGATGTTTCGACCCTCGCACGCACATGCCTCAGAGAAGATCGACACAAGTGACCGCTGACACCAGTAGCGTGGACGTCGCACGCCGTTGCGCCACCACTGTCACAGCTCACGATATCCTGTTCTATCATCTCTCGTAGATCGTATACGGTGCCGGTGTCCATTATCTACCAGCACTTCCAGGAAACTGCATTCATCAGGTAGGATCATTTCTACTTCATAAATTAATAGCTATTATCAGTTCGTGTTGCATGATCAAAGAAAAAATATTCTGACAGCATGATGATAAAACTTAACAAAATAGACGGCTTAAACAATTTTTAAATTTAACAAATTAGAAGAAAAATTGTGTTTAACTGCAAATACATACATACATACACTGGTATTTTCGAAAATTTTATAATCAATTAAAAAGCAGCAGTAGTTTACAATAGTTGTAGTTTTATGACTTTTATGTGTGGACACATAGAAGTTATATTTTATGTATGCATTATTTTAGAATTTTTATAAAAAGTCTTTAAAATATTACAGTAAACTCGGAAGAAAAGGCTGCATTTTTTGTTGGGTGGTTTAAAATACTTCAATGAATTCAAAAATAGTTATCTGAATAAATTTGCTGTTCAAATAATGTCTAAAATATAATGAATTTTTCAGTGACATCAGTAATGATAAAAAGTTATGATTAACGTAAGTTGTGTGTCTCGACTCCTACATATTTTAGGGAATTTTTGTAAAATTTTAAAAATATTTTTAAATCATGAATTTATTTAAATAAAGTAAAATATATCAGAAAATAGTATATGGATGTTCCGAATTTCAACAATTGTTAATTTAAAATAAAAAACTTGGAAGTTACAGCAACTCTTATCTTTATAAAACGCGCTTTTTTTTCTTCGGAGTTGCTAAAGCTGTTGAAAAATTAATTAAACTATAACCTACATATCTTACCTACAACTGAATCTGTATACTTAAAATGTAAAAACTTAACTATCCAAGCAACGATTGAAAATAGTTTTTGTTTATTTTTTTTATTTATTTAATACAATTAATATAATAATAATATTAGCAAAGAACATAACCCTTATATATATTATTATCAGTATCAGAAATGTCAGATAGTACTAAATCTAATTGTGATACGATTATATATATTCCAGTATTCTACACTCGCAAATGTAAAGTCAATTCAATCATTTAATTTTCCTGCTTTAATTTTTTCGTTTTCCATTTTATTCATATCACTTGTTTTTAATTTGCTTATGTAGGACTCTGGAATCTTGCATTAATAAATGCATAGTAAATCCGTACCTATAAACTTATAATTGTCAGTAGTTCGTTCCGCGTGATTAGTTAAAAATAATAATTAAAAATCCAATTTCACAATAGGCAACAAATGTTACCATAACTATAACCATTACTATAATCTTAATCTAGGACTTCGTGTGGTAATTTCTCAGTTTTATCAAAAATATGAAAATTAAGGTCTGCCTAGTACCATAAAGTATACTGTTAAATGGAAAAAATTACAAGATCTAACACAAAATCTGTAATATAATTAAGAAGGGTCACAGGTATTAATTTTTTTTCGAGAATTCTTGAACAAGTAAATACTATTTTAGAAAATAGCCATTCATATTTTTGTAGTCATTGATTTTTGGGCATGACATGTTTGTATTTTACATATTTTATCATTGAATACCTGATTTAAGATATTATTTAGATAGGAATTCAGTAACACAGTTATGACAAAGCAGTGAACTAAAAAGACATTTATTAAGTGATTATTTTTTGAAAATATTCTTAATTAACATAAAAACAAAATGCTGCTGAACATCTAAAAAAAAAAGTCAATAATAATTGTCTAAAAATGTTTAACTTAAAATTGTGTATTTTACAGAAGTTATGTTTATTTCTTTCAGGATTTTCTTAAAGAAGTAGTTGTCTCGTGTTATTTTTGTATTTCATGCCTCCAACACGCCTCGTATTTAGGCCCAACTCATTTATTATTTACTTTAGATAATAAGCGATTTTTTGTTTAAAAATATCAGAAATTTAATCAGTATCATGTCTTTATTTAGATGCAAAATGGTGTCATAACAACAAAAAGGTTCTGGTTTGAAATATTTTGTTGTATTTTTTGTTACGTTATTTTGAATTCCAAGTGTGCATTTTTAGCATCAGATTTAGCATGAGCTAATGCAATTAATTTAGTCAAAGTTATGCAAAATTTAACATGTTAGTGATAATGGGTACTCTTGAGGAGCAGTCATAAAACAGTAAACCTAGCTCCTCTGTAAAAATTAAGCCTTATATCCATATACAAAAAGATATTTTGCACTTCTGAAACAAAGATTTCGATTTCTAATATTAAAATGCTATAATTTATTTATACTTATTACATTTACAAAAATCAAATTTAAATTCAAATTTATTGTCCACGATGTAAACGCATTTTCTTCATTAAAGGAAAACTCATCAAAAAGGAGAATTAAAATGTGTCAACACCATTCGTATTTTCTACATAGCCTGTAAGAATAAACATAGAAACCGATTAAAGCAAACACTAATAAGAAGAAAAAAGTATTAAATATACCCACTTTGGTATGGAATTGGTTTATTGTTTCGGCGTTTAAAAATATCTTGAATAGGTAGGTACATCAGAAATCAAAAAACTTTCATCCACTGAAAGAGACACCTTGTATACAAATACACATTCTAAAATTCTTACATTTTAATTATTTTTATATACTTGAAAAAAAAATAATAACCTCGCAATAATAGTAGGGCACTCCCCACAAAAATATTTTGGTCTAGAGCTATTTTATCAGCCATAAAGCTTATAAGTAAAGTTGCAAGATATAAAGCTTTAGGGCCGTTTTACAAGCCACATAATTACCTAGTCCAAAAATTTTTATCAAAATTAATGTTAGAAATTTTGCAAGATGGTAAAGTAAGCATGAACTTATGGAGACGTTCAAAATATGACCATTTGTTGCAGTTTTGAGCGCCTACGCAATTTCTTGCACACTATTCAAAACATCAAATGAATTTTGATAGAAAAGAGGAAAAGTTCTCAAATTCAGTTAAATGCTTACTTATACATTTTTTGGATAACAGAAGTCCTTTTTATGTATTTTTATTTTTTATTTATATGCTCGTACTATGTTACTAAAAAGGTGATATATGATACAGATGTTGGAGTAAGTCGAGTAGGTAGATCATAGTTACAGTCCTGTATACTAAAACCGGCCTTTGGGTTATGTTTTGAAAAATACATATATATTTTAAGAGATGTAACAATTTTACCATACCTTATGATATTAATTTAACTTGTCTTCTGATCATAATCTTTAAATATTAAAAGACTCAGTTTATAGAAAGCGAATTGAAGTTAATTCGTAATTAACTTTTAATTGAGGCCCGTTGCTATGCAACGTGCATGTTTTAACCAATCACTGGCTCATATTCTACATTTTAATCCTCTGTTAAATTAATCGAGGATTAAATATTTAATTTGCTTTCTATAACCCGGCCCTTAGAAGTTTAAAAATTAAGCAGAACTATAATGAACAAAATTGAGTCCAATATAATTACAAAAAAAAAACACAATAATATAGCGACTTTCGTTTTTTCGTTCATGTCATGTATGCTAGTTGCTCCTGTATAGACAAATGTAGGACGATATTATTTAAATTTAATTAGATCGAAAAAGTAAAGATGCCCTTGACAATATAAAAAAGAATGAAAACACATGGGCGTGTTGCCGCTAGAGTACATTTAATGCCATCCTTACTTTATTATTTTTTTAACTTGTAGCAGTATTTATCTTACTAAAATAAATATTGTAAAATCTGAAACAATCGATATTTTGGAAATATATCCTGAAGATTTGTTATGTGTATTTTCTTTCATTAAATAATAAGTACAGTCAATTGACTCAAAAAGGTGGCTTTTGGAACGTTTAGCAACAACTACAGCTATTACTATTTGTTGCAACTCAATTGTCACTCTGCTGGTAATCACATTTAGTTATAATCATTGAATAAAATGTTAAAAAGTTTAATGTAATTTTATAAATAAACCCTAACCAGCATCAACTGCAAACGATACTTTTTTTTAATGAAACTCGATGCGGGTAAAGAGTCGCAATAAATGTAATAAGTATGTAGCTACAACAACTTTTGAAATTAAGTAAAAATGTATCTAACAAATTGGCTTAAAAATATATATTTTAATTAAATTTAATTTCTATATAATAAACCCAATTATATTAAAGCGTATGGAACAGCTTCTATAAAAAACTCTTTCTCGTTCATTGCCATTGTTGCAGGTTACAATTATCGCTTACTAATTTAAAAGTGTGTAAATTACGAAATATCCAAAAAATCCGTGTAAATACCATTCATACATGCAGGTTTAAAAAATCATACTACAAATTTATGAAATCTGGAAAAGAATTAATTAAGCCCGTGTTTATGTAAATTTTGCGCATAATTTAAGATGTTCGAGGCGATAGAATGACCACAATGTCGCTTAATTCGAGTTATGAATACAGCAGTTACTTCACCTGCACCAAGTAGTAACGTGCAAAACCCGTATAACCCTCGCTTTTAACACATAAACTCACGCGAATACATCAATTTTCTTAGTGAATGGCAAAGTCTGTAAATGCAACCGGCGTTTAATGTTTTAAGTTATATAAAAACAGTTGGTTCGACCCTTATGTTCTAGTCTATTTTATTGTTTCTGCGTGCAATGATGGTAATAAATCGACCTGTATTATGGGACTGTTCCCAAATTAGAAATTTTAGTACTATTTGTTGCAATTTTGTCGTCTCTAATAATACTTCAGCAACTGCAAAATTCAAACTACACCCACAAGCAATCATATATACAATTTTTTTAATGAATAATTAACTGTTTACAAAATTTTGTAAAAGCAATACAGGCAAAATTATTGGAATGTTTGAAATTAACAAGATGATTAATAAGTCTTCTATTTTTTTAACGGGCCAACCGAAATCCAATGATATAAATAAATAGTAATAAATGCCATAACTGTAATAAATACATTTATTTACAGTTATGGCAAAAAATGCTTTGTATTCACAGCCGCATTATTGCTGCCTTAAACATTATGTTCTAGTACTTAGTTAGACTATATATAGTACACCGGGCACTGCAGCAAAGGCTTGACTCA